TATTACCTACTCGCTGGCATCTATCGCAACATGATACAAATTTATAGAAATCATTAAACAGATTTGGCCAAAAGAAACCTGACTGAAGTACCTTCCTCGTTGTTCGCTCACCTCCATAATGCCCCGCATAATCCGAGCCATGGCAATGAAAAAGTATATCTCTTTGCTCGCTTTCCGGTACACATCTTCGAATGGCTAAATTGCTGCATTGTCTAAACAAAAAGGGTTCTTCCTAAAAGTAGAAATTCACATCATGTAAAAACTTTTTTCGTTGATGAAAAGTGAGCTCAGGTGGAAGTACATGGCTAACAAAATAATTCACAAAATCCACATACCATGGTACTCCTTGATTATCCACAACAAGTAATTGTTCATCCGGAAAATTTTCATTAATGCAAATTTTATCTTTTAATTCCGTTTCTAGCCTACATAAATGATCGGCCACATGGTTCTCGCTACCCTTATGATCACGAATTTCCAAATCAAGGTCTTGCAGCAGTAAGACCCACCTAATAAGTATAGGTTTTGCTTCTTTTTTTTCTATCAAATATTTCAAGGCCGAATGATCTGTAAAGACAACGACCTTTGTGCCTATAAGATATGATCTAAATTTTTCGAATGCAAAAACAACTGCTAGCAATTCTTTTTCAGTAGTGGTATAGTTCAATTGCACATCGTTTAGAGTTTTACTAACATAGTAAATTGAATGAAAATTTTTATTCTTTCTTTGGCCCAACACTGCACCTACTGCATAATCACTGGCATCACACATAAGTTCAAAGGGTTCATCCTAATCAGGCACAACAATAATAGGTGCGGTTACTAACCTTGTTTTCAATTCGTCGAAGGCTTTGAGGCATTCGTCATTAAAGTCGAATTTGATTTCCTTCTCCAACAAATTGCACAATGGTTTGGCAACCTTAGAAAAATCCTTGATGAACCGCCTATAGAAACATGCATGTCCCAAAAAACTTCGAATTCCCTTTACTGAAATTCACCTTAAGTGAATAATACTTTCGTCAGAGAAAAAACATTTCCGAATGTCAAAAAGAGCAGGAATTTACGTTTTTTGAGAAATAATTAAGATTGCTTGTATGGAAGGTCCTGAACTTCCTAAAAAATTGACCAGTTTGGCTTAATATAATTTCGTGTCCTAAAAAACAATTACGTAATGTGTTGTTATGAAAGTTTAAATATCTTGTAATAAATATTTCATTGTAAAAAATAAAAAAATAAAAAAAAATTTTTTTAATAAAATTAAATAAAATAGAACACATGAGGATTAAATTAATGTAAGAAAGGGTGGTGAATTATAAATTTGAGGGGTATTTATGACATTTTATAATCTTTGGTGGTGAATTGAGATAATTTGGAAGTGGAAATAGCACCACTCTTAAAAAATAATGTATATTTAATTTTAATATTAAAAGATATATAATATTTTTTCCATTTTCCATTAAGGGATTCTAATAATTAGGGAGTTAGTTACTCATCTTAATGACCTCCACTCTCGCTCACTCTCTCCCTCTTTATCTCTCTCTCTCTCTCTTGAAGTTTTCTGCAGACGTGCGGTTATCACTCTAAGAAGACAAGATATATATATATATATATATATATATATATATATATATATATATATATATATATATATATATATATATATATATATATATATTAATCTGTTGTTTGTATTTGCTTAGATGTATGAATATGTTTGTTTTGCTTGAACGTTATGTGTTGTTTATTCGAGAAAAAAAACAAATTTATAATTATACATAGTGGTTTTCATGTTTATATAGCTGTTATACAGAGTGGTTTTCATGTTTACATAGTTGTTATACATAGTGGTTTTCATGTTACATAATTGTTATACACAGAGTGGTTTTCGATGAACATGTAGTGGATTACACACAATTTAACAGTGGATTACACTAATTTAATAGTGGACTACGTTAATATTAATGTTAATTATGCTTATTTTATAGTAAATTTTACTTTAATTTCATAGTGACTTTCGATAAATTTAGTGGTTTTCGATGATTATATAGCGGATCTCAATTTGCTTTTAAATATGAACCATTTAAAAATTTGAAGAAAGAAAAAACAATTTTTGTTTTAAATTGTAAAAAAAAAAAAACATTAAACCAAATTAGGAAAACATAAACTAAAATTACGTGAGATGAGATAGGGGAGATAATAGGGGATGGTGTGAGATGGGGGAGAGAATAGGGGGATTTGCATATCTACCAACAATTTAATGGATTTTTCCACAATAATATAATATAGTAATTTTCAATAAAAGTAAATAGGGGCATTTTGGATAATTAGAATCAATTGGATTTATAACAAATATCAATTAAATAAAATGGATTTATCAAGAAGTCAAAATTCAATGAGGGGTGTTTGTCAAATAACCCCTTAATTATATTAAGGGTAAATTACAAACACCCCCTGAGGTATGGTCAAATTACAAAAACCCCCCTCTTGTTTGGATAATTACATCTACCCCTCAACTATGATTTTTTTTTAGACCTTCACCTTTATGGTGCCAAATTCAACATAGTCATCTAGATTCCGTGAAATGTGCTCTACTTTGTACTCTTTTTGTGTAAAAAAATACAGTTTCCGATGCACCACAAACTGATATATACAAGCTAAAAATCACATATTATGGTCATCTTGCTTCATAATGTAGAGTTTGAATGGGATAAAACGGGTACAGAAGTGATAATATTCCATATAATCTCGAAGATTCCACTAAATTTGATGAATTGAGGGGGTGGTTGTAATTATCCAAACAAGAGGGGTGTTTTTGTAATTTGGCCATACCTCAAGGGGGTGTTTGTAATTTACCCTTATATTAATATATCCTTTTTCGAAGAAAAAAAAAGGGAGGGGGCGTTCACTAACAACTACAAGCATGCGGAGGAAGATGAAGCAGCTGTTTTGGCAATGGCCGCTTGCAGCTCTTATATGCTCCCGATGACTCTGAACGCCGTCGTCGAACTAGACCTATTCGAAATCATCGGGTATGTACTTATATTTATATTTGGGAAAATGCAGTTTTTATCCTTCAAGTTTGCACTGATTTCACATTTAGTCCTCCATGTTCACAAAAAATACATTTGATCCTCCAAGTTTCATAAACTCAATCCATTCCGTCAAATATCTCTTAAAACTAACGGAATCAAGCTTTCATCGAAAGGTTCTCTCTCTCTCTCTCTCTCTCTCTCTCTCTCTCTCTCTCTCTCTCTCTCTCTCTCTCTCTCTCTCTCTCTCTCTCTCTCTCTCTCTCTCTCTCTCTCTCTCTCTCTCTCTCTCTCTCTCTCTCTCTCTCTCTCTCTCTATATATATATATATATATGTATATATATATATATGAAACATCATAAGAAAATTGCGTTTTTTCATGCACGTTATGTAACAAAGCCTTACTATTATTTCGTTTTCTTTCGTCTGTAGGTTTAGATGAATTGATCAATGAATATCGTGTGGGCATAGCAACAAGAGACAAGCTTCAGAAAGTGGTCGGATGGCTGCTTCGAGCTAAACTTGCTCACTGTGGCAGTGTACTGAACTACTATGAAGTGAGCTAAACCTTTTCCGTTGGAAACTGCACGAAGAGATACATTCCCAAGATTGCTCATCTCTATCGGAATTATGCAAATGTGACAATTCTTGTAATGCCAATTTTCATGCGTCCGCCGTGAAATATTTATGCCGATTACTTGGGTCAATCTTCGAGAAATGGAATCTGAACGGATGTTTATTTGTAGGAGGCTGTTTACACAAGGTGACGATTGTTTGGTCGACGATTTCATCACTACTGGCTGTCAGATATGTGGTATTCCAATAAATTCAAGAATTGGGTGGCCTTTTTTTTTTTTTTTTTGTATTTTTCTCTTTGTGGGATTATATATAGCAATTTAATGGATGGGTAATAAAAGATGTTGGCAGGTCGGATGTTGAGCAAAATACGTCGAACCGTCTCCATGTAGTAGGCACCATATACAGACCTTTCTTGGTACAGATTTTCTTCTTACCATATGATTCATTGAACTATATCTCCTCTAATGTTTTTTTTGAACTCATCCGATTTAGTCTTTAATTTGCTGTTTTGCAGTTATATGTGTGGGATGACTCGAAATACCTTCCGATTTTTGTCCCAAACAAGGCAAGCTGAAATTTTGTTCGCAAACATCTCTGCTGACAAAATCTATACTTCCTATAAAAGCCAACGAAAAAATCGTACAGCATTCAAGATGACTAGTTCTGGTGAAATACAATTCGGTACATTGTTTGCTTCGAAAATGAAAGGAAAATAATTATCAAGAAACGGCAACACAAATTTCTACATGATTTGGTTGATTTTATTGAAAACGTTGTTTCAGCATGAAAAGAACAGCCCTTTGAAATTCAAAGTAACGGTCGATACAGATAAAGATTGGGAAAACGGGAGAATTGAGATGACATCAGTCTCAATTCCGATCCCCTCAGCCTAGATTTCGAATGATTTACGAAATAAATTCATCAATAAATATTAGTGTATGCAGCATTGACAAATGACAACCCCACATAATGCATCATTTATTATAGGGTAAATTACAAACACCCCCCTGAGGTATGGTCAATTTACGAAAAAACCCCTCTTATTTGGATAATTACATCTACCCCTCAACTACGATTTTTTCTTACACCTTCACCCTTATAGTGTCAAATTCAACATAATCATCTAGATTTCGTGGAATGTGCTCTAGTTTGTACTCGTTTTGTGTAAAAATACAATTTCCAATGTACCACAATCTGATATAAAAAGCCAAAAAACATATATTATGATCATCTTGCTTCAAAATGTAGAGTTCGAATGGGATAAAATGGGTACAAAAGGGATAATATTCCATATAATCTCGAAGATTCCACTAAATTTGAGGAGTTGAGGGGGTGGTTGTAATTATCCAAACAAGAGGGGGGGTTTTCGTAATTTGACTATACCTCAGGGATGGTTGTAATTTACCCTTTATTATATCATCGTACATTTAACTTAAACCACAAATACAAAAATCGAACCGCATCCACTTGGTTAGAAACATCAACATTTCCGGATGAATCCATTGCTAATAACTTTGTACATATATTTAGCTAAGACACATTAAATAAACATGTATGTATGTGTAAGAGAAGGAACTAAAAACTGGAGAACAATGATATAAGTCATCTCGCTAATCTTCGATTTATTCCATAACCTTCCTGCAAATAAATCTACTAACTCTGGTGGATACAATCAACCATGGTATGATTCCAACCTGCACATGCATATAATATCTATATCTTAGTTTTCAACAAAAATACGAAGAAACGAAAAAAAAAAATGAAGTACAGATATTATTACCACAACATTGTCTTTCAAATATGCTCCCGATCTCCAAGAAAGCAGCTTACCTGCAAAAATAAGAGGACTGTATATATAAATATGAAGCTTAATGCAATTTCAAATGTGCATTTACTGGAATTATGGAAGTGAAATTTGATTTACAGAAAAAACCGAGATGTAATAATGGGTAGACGAAAACAAGTACCAAAGGGTTGCACGAGTTGATCAGATATTGTAGTGATAGGAATCTTCCAGAACCATAAAATCAGCAAAACGTAAGTAACAACCTGTCAAAAAAAAAACAGCTTACTAACTTCCACAAACAAATTCAATACGATCCTCTCAAACATTTAAATAAATAACCTTTGATATTGTTAAGAGCTTCTCGTATGTGCCAAATGACAATTTCATATCCTTGTCGTGCATTTCTTGATCTGCGTTGAAACATCAGCAAAACATAGAAAATGAAACACTTGTTTCTAACACGTAAAAAAAACACTCTAAATAACAATTCACGCCAATATCGTTGCGCTTAAAAAAAAAAAACCAAAAAAAATCGGACTTTTTGCAAGTTCCTTCTCCTTCGCTGCGGCCATTCTTCTTAGTTTTGCAGCTTGTGCAAATGTTGAAGGTCTGAAAATAAACAAAGGAAAATCGATTCTTCAATAAATAACCAGAGGTGGTGAACTCAAGCAATCCGAAACGATTGATGTTAATAACTTTTTCCCGTCGAAAAAAATAAGCCACGATATAAAACTATATAGAATAACTTCCAACATCAGACACAGGAAGATTAAATCAGAGAGTTTTAATCTAATACATCAAAATCAAACGAAAAAAAATACGGTAATTAAATATAATCGCACTCACTGCGTTAAGGAGCTAGCTTCCTTCAAAAGCTGCTTAATTTCTGCTCGCAATTGAACGTCCAATTCACTCATCAATCCTTTCTTCACAATTTAAAACAGAAAAAAAAAAAAAACAAAATTATCAACAACAATGACCTAATTTCTGATAAATGCCGATATTTACATCGTGAAAAAACACAAATTATAACAATAATTAAAAAAAAAAAAAGAACCTTCTTTTTGTGGAATTCGAGGTATTTGGAGACGAAGTGGAGAGAGAAAACGAGGATGAAAATCGCCGGAGCTGCCAATGACTTGCCGTGCTCCGTTAGGTTTTCTTCCATCTTCTTCTTCTGTTCTTCCTTTTTCCGTTTCAATTTCTTCCCCAAAAATAAAATTAAAAAAATTGTTTATAATTTTTCTCCGTGCCGTCTGGTAAATCAATGAGTTGTAGCCTTTACGCACAGAGAGAGAAATAGGTGAAGATGCAGATTGGAACAGGGTATCCAAATTTAGGGATTCTGTGAGAAAGAAATGGTTAAATAAAGCTCCTTTGGTCTAGATGAATCCATAATTAATTAATTTTCTACTTACTATAATATTTATATAATAATATTAATAAATTAATTTCGATTGAAAAAATGGGGCGCTAGTAATTTAAGAGTAACCTTAAAAAAACTGGTGCATTAAGATATTTGGCTGAATTAAATCTCATTGTGGCTTTCACTGCCGAAATACACTGTAATTTTTATTTTGTTTTAGAAATTAATACACTGACTTCAACTTAATTTATCATTATTAAAATCAAATACAAATAGGCAACCAAAGTCCACAACTACAAATCTCGTATACATATTTCTTGAACAACAATTATTCAAGAACTAGAATACAAATAGATCAAACTCTATAAAACTTCTAAGTAACTTTATTCCTAAGAGTCTTCATCATAATCGTCCACTAAAGCACCTGTTACCGAGAATAAGATGGAAAATAAAGGAAGACTAAGTCCAAATGGACAGGAGGAGGAAGTCGAAATGGACTTAGTGAGGAGTACAAGGAAAAAACAGTGGAATCGAATAATAATCACAAGAAGAAAATAATAGAAATGTTAGACTTGGAATTGGAGTTGAAATTGGACCATCTAGAAATAACAAGTGATAATATTTTATGGTCGCGAAATCACAAGTCCAGAAAGGTACAATCAACGGTTTTGCCCACAATTCAGGATCATATAACAATTGATGAAGATGGATCTCAATCAAAAATAGTCTACGGTTAAAATTGAATCCGTAGTTGTATAGCTCGAAACACAAGTGGTTTCAAAGGATCAATGAGAAGTGAAGATATGAACGATCCATCAATTCACAGTGGGTACGAAACGAATGATTAATGGTATAAACACAATAATTCTAAGTGGTCCAAGAGTCGGGAAAAGAACGATTTACGTTCATTGAACCAGTGTAGAAACAAATCGAATGATTTAATGAATCATAATAGAAGTGGTTCCAACTAGTATACGAGTCAAGATGTGAAACGACTCAAAATTTATAAAGAATCAGATTGAAACTCGTTGATTTATTCAAGGTCAATAAACGAACTCAATTGAGTAGCCAAAGAAAATGGATGATAAATTATTGGAATAAGTTTCGAATCAAGATGAGAACTTATTTGAATAGTTCGAGAAAGGAGATACGAGAACCATCAAGAGGATTTCCGAATAAATCATTATTTTCAACAATTCAAGAATCAAAATATAATACGATAGGCAACAGGTAAGATATATCACATTTAAGTGATCAAGAAGCAATAACGGATATCTTATTCTCAGTGTGCATTTTGTTTTTCCAAGAAATAATAGTGAATAAATAGAGATACTCACCTGGAGTCCAATGCAAGGGCTATAAATTATCTTTATGCTCAAGCGACTCTCAAATCTTGAGCGAGAGCTTTACTACACTCAATACCTATAAAAATATTTATCACTTAATAAGATTCCAAATACTTATTAAATGAATTCGTATACATACGACATTTCCTAGTTTTCTTTATGTCCTTAAGGCCAAAAAAACTTACTTACTAATTCTAATTAAATTTAATCCCATAACCCGACACCTAAGCTCAACACATAATTATTTCATTTGCCGAACCGGGCCGCAAACCCATAGAATTAACTCATTTTATTCCACGAGTTTCTCAACCTAATAATAAAACTAATATGCTGCCACAGTTCACTTGAAAACCCATAACAGGTTCCACGTTAATCCAAATTGATCACATGATACGTCAAATGAAAGATAAAAAAAAACCTACGAGTTCACAAAAGGCTTTAGTCCCAAATTCTGAACCAAAAATAGCAGAAACAGCCTCAAACCAGCATTACAGAACTGCGAGAATTTTGGAAAGATTATTTCTGGTACAGCTTATTTGAAAAACCATAACAAACTGCATGTATATCGAAACAGACCAAATGATATGCCAAATTAAAGCTAACAACAAGATCTACAAGTTCACTGAAGACACCACTTTCAAATTATGAGTGAAACGTAGCTAAAACAGCCCAAGAAAATGATACCCGATTTGACAAAAATTCATTCTGGCAGTATGTTTTGAAAAATCATAATAATTCGAAATATTATCCAAATTTGACAAGTCACATACCAAATCGAACATAACGTCTTCATCTACAACTGAACAGAAGACACTGGCCTCAAATTATGACTAGAATGCATAGGACATAGTCTCGAAAGATAAGTCATATGAACTGCCAGAATTTGCAGATGGAACTACCTTTTTCCCCCCTTCAAACAAACCTTAAAACTCGATCAAAGCAGGCAAGATTCAGATTATCCTTCTACGATTTATAAGAAGGAACTGCTTTAAAATTCAAATCCCAAAATCTGCCCCGAAAACAGGAGCGGCATAAGGTTTATTAAATGCAGAAATTATTGTCACTACTGTCGGATAAAAATCAACTTTGTACAGAGGTATAAATTTGGGGAAAAATCGATATTCCTATAGTATTTAGTCTGTTCTATAACTTCCCAGAAGAAATAAATCCGAAATTCGAAGCCTAAGTACCTCAAATCGACTCTTAAAACTTGAGCTGCATGCTGGACTTCTCGTTGAACTCCGGCGACCATCACCGAAGACAATAGCCGGAAACTACCACCAAATTGAAGCTTACGTCGAGGGCTTTCCAATGATGTATCCCGATCGCTGAAACCCGGCAAGAAAATTGTCAAGTCAACATCTTTCCCTCTGTTATTTGAACCCTAGCTTATCTAGCACAAGTGAAGTTGAAGAAGATGAAGGTCTGACTCATCAATTATTCTACCGTGGCTCTCTCTAATTTCTCATTAATTGCACAATTTTCCGTTTAAGATTGATTGCCAAGTTAAAATTATTATTATATCTATACCCCAACTTTATCCCACAATAACACAACACCCCTCTAATCTTATTATTTAGTACCATAATCCCCCTCTATCATTTTTTTAATTAAGATGGGTCCAGCGCCTTTTCTTTTATTTGTGATAGATCCAACTTTTTTTTATTCTCGAATTTACCCTTTGTTCCGTATTTTTCACTCTCAACTACTTTAATGCCTATTTAATTTTTTTTAATTATAATATTCATTTATTTATTTATAAATATTTATTTTAATTTTATTTTTGATTTTAATTTTGAACTTTTTTCAGTTTTTTATTTGAAATCGATTATAAAATTTCTGAAAACAATTATATTTTTTTTAAAAATTAACTATTTTCATAATCAACTATAAATTACTGAAAAAATTACTTTTTTTGTTTGTTTATTTCCCTAATCAAATATAATATTCCCGTAAACAACTACATCATTTGCAAAATCTACTATTAATTTTTCAATTTTTCTAATTTATTTTTTCGACTTTTTTTTCCAACTGATTAACCAAATGGAAAAATTACTACATATTATTGAAAACAACTATAAAAAATTGAAATCAACTAAATAACGTCGAAAACAACTAAAAATAAATCAAGTACAATTTTTTTTTTTCATTTTTTTAATCCAATGTTTTTCAATTTAATTTTTCCAGCAGATCATATTATTGAAAAAAAACTATAAAAATATTAAAATCAACTACCAAAAAATCCAAAAATCAACTAAAAATGTCGAAAACAACTAGAATCTCTCAAAAACAACTATAAACAAAATAGCGGAATAACGAAAAACAACTATATTATTGTGTAACATACCCAACATAAAAAAATCCTCAAATAAAAAATTCAGAGAATTGCTCCTCAATTAACAAGATCCAAGCATTAGAGGATGACGAATCATTGCCAGAAAATCAATTAGAATGGCCCTCCTCACATCATCCCTTCAACTCGACAATGGAGAGAAATCCTAGAACGAATAAAAAAACAAAATATAGATTGCCACAACCTGTTAATTCAATCTTCAACCAAACGAAACCCTAAAATCGCGCGCATGGAAGATATGAGATGGCGGCAACGGTGCAGAACTGAATTGGAGGAGTGGAAGTCAGGCGGAGGTGTAATGGAGGAGTGGCGGCGTCAGTGCGGTTGTGGGGTTCTTCTCTCATCGTTGCCGAGATGTGGTGCCGCCTTCTTCCTCTGCTTGCTGCCGCCTCCGACGCTGCAGAGTTCTAGTTAGAGAAGAAGAGAAGAAGATATGGAGATAATATTTGACGATACAACGGCTGTTGAGTAAAAAAGATGTGGCTAGGGTTTTATGTGTTAATTAGGGATAATATAGGTATAACACCTAATAATTATATAAATATTAATTTAATTAAACAATTAAGGGGGGTTTCACTATTATTGGAAAAGGGAGCGATCCATCATAATATATCCTAATGTATTGGGGTTCTCACTAATAATCCCTATATAATAAGCATAAATTACAGGGTGTTACACTCATTCATTCATGTGAATCTGATGTATGCAAAAAATATTTTAAACACAACTTTCAGTCATGAAAAAAATAAGGACCAAAAAAAGAAGGGGTAAATTACAATCCATCAGAGGTAAGGTCTATTTACGAAAAACCCCTCATGTCTTCATAATTACATCCACCCCTTGCAATTTGTAGGTTTCTTACATTAACACCCTTTTGTAGGGGGTGGATGTAAGAAATTTATAAACTGCATGGGGTTGGATGTAATTTATCAAAAATAAGGGGTTTTTTCGTAATTACACTTTATTGAAATTCAGAATGGAAAATCAACATGTAAAAATCTCAATCTACAGCTTATAATCCCCGGCCATTGGTCTTTTACAACAAATTAAGACAAACTAATTTGAGGAGAATTAATTAAATTGCATATAATTTAACTTCGTCAATACTCGTCACCGTCGTTGGCTGCAGCCGAAGAAGCAGAATTTTGAGCTTCCAAAAGCTGCATTTGGCGTTCGGCGTGTTCCCTTTCACAGGCAGTAACTCCCATGATAATATCGAGCATTGTGCCAGTTGTCCCAAAGAAGACAAGTGGTGCAAGAGATTTCCGTTTAATACCAACCGGTATTGCTATCAAAGCACCAGCCACCGAAAATACCCATGTGCCCAATGCACTGCAAAACGTTCGTGTAAACAAAATCTCAGTAAAAAAAAAAACAAATCGAGTATATAACAAATACTATATTCACTCGAACAATACGGCAAATATGATTTCATTGAATATGAAAGGGAACTTCTTTTCGGTACAAAGCACGGCAAAGATAGTTTCCAACAACAAGGGTTGATGAATTTGAAATTGTTCAACACAAACATTGCGTACACAAAGTGGATTAGTAATTTCAAAATCGTAGAAAACACATTTTGCAACTCATCATGAACTAAAAAAAAAAAAAAAAAAGTAATTTCAAAATGTACAATAATAAAAGGGTAAATTACGACCATCTCTGAAGTAAGACCAAATTATAAAAAATCCCTCTTGTTTGGGTAATTACAACCATCCATCAACAACTATGAATCTTCTTACACGTCCATCCTTATGGTGTCAAATTCATTATTCCGTGCAATATTCTCTAATTTGTACTCGTTTTCTGCAAAAATGCAGTTTCTGATGCAATATTTACAAGCCTAAAGACACATTTTACGATCATATTGTTTCAAATCGTGGAGCTCGAATGGGGTAAAACGGGTACAAACTAGAGTATATTCCAACGTAATCTAGAAAATTCAACTAAATTTGACACCGCATGGTGGATGGACGCATAACAAGATTCGTAGTCGAGGGTGGTTGTAATTACCCAAAAAGGAGGGGCTTTTTCGTAATTTACACAAAATAAAACAGAGAGAGATAAAAAGGAATACCAACTTTGATACAGAGCAATCTTTCAGTTGTTTCACATCCTCGTTTCCAGACATCTTCAATTACAGTTTCACTGATTTCTTCACCTTCCCCCACCAAATCTTAATCTCATCAGCCAAAAACAAAATTACAGCCAATCCACCACCTAGAAGAAAAAAAATTAAAAAAAAAAAAAACGTAGTAACGAATCATAATTAGTTCTGTGCAATTTACAAAAACCCACATACCAAAATGTGTTCTTTTGAAGTCAATAATTCTTGGGCAGTTGAAAGAAGAAAGAAAAGGGACAAGTACCTCTCAAGTAGAGAGAGAGAGGGGGCTTCAACGACGTCGTAGTGTCTAAAAGGTGCAATTACGATTGAAAACCGGACCGGCCGGTCTGACCGGTTCAACCGGGAAAATATCAAAACCGGGATCTGAAGGATTAAAACCGGGAAACCGGTGGTTTAACCGGAAACCGGATCAATAACCGGGTTTTTGTGAAAATTGCTATTTTGTTTCAAAAATATTCATATCTGGTAAGAAGAAGAAGAGAGTGTTGTGGCCTGTGTAGTTGACGGCGGATGAAAAATAGTTGTAGGGTTTACTTTTACTTTTTTTTTGTTTGTTTTCTTAAAAGAGAATACAAAAATGGGGTAATGGCAAATAGGCCCATGACAAGGGCACTTAATTAAAAGAGGGACATCCAATTTTTTTGTCTTTCAAATAAATTCAACCCATTCAAACTTATTTGCAAATAAGGAAAATCCTTTTATATATACCAAAATTATCCCCAATTCATTGAAACTCAATTCAACTCCAATTTCATAATTTACACCACAATTTAGCCCAATTTCATCAATTAACCATTTTAACCCTAATTTCAATTTTGACCCCAATTTTAACCCTAATTCTTATCAATTCCACCCATTATGCTCTAACTTCCTTAATATTACCCATTGACCCCGGATTTAAACAAATATATCACATTAACCCCCAAATTTATTTTTTTTCAGAAAATATTTTTTTTTCTGAATTGTTTTTTTTTCCGGCCAGATTCCGGCGTTGACCGCCGGAGACCGGTCGACTTTTTTTTTTTTTTTTTATAATTTTGTTTTTTCTTAATTTTTTTTTAATTAATATTACTGTCTTGGTTGCTAAATTACTGTCTCCGGCAGTTATTTAACTGCCGGAGACAGTAATTTAGCTGTTAATTGACTTTTTTTTTTCAAAAATATTTTAATTAATATTACTGTATTCGTTGCTAAATTACTGTCTCAAGCAGTTATTTAACTGTTGGAGACACTGATTTAACTGTTAATTGACTTTTTTATTCTTAAAAAAAAATATTTTTAATTAATATTACTGTATTCGTTTGCTAAATTACTGTCTCCAGCAGTTATTTAACTGTCGGAGACAGTAATTTAACTGTTAATTGGATTTTTTTCATTTTTTTTTCTTTAAAAAAATATTTTAATTAATATTACTGCCTTAGATGCTAAATTACTGTCTTCAACAGTAATTTAACTGTCTTAGACAATAATATTAATAATATTACTGTTCGGAAAAATAATATTCATAATATTACTGTTCGGAAATAATAATATTCATAATATTACTGTCCCAAACAGTAATATTACTTTCTAAGACAGTAATTTAGTAGCTAAAACAGTAATATTAATTAAAATATTTTTTTCTTCTAAGAAAAAAAAATTCAAAAAAAAAAAAAAAAAAAGTCAACGCCGGAGACCGGCGGTCAATGGTGGTTGACCCACCGGAAAAAATTTCACGAAAAAAAAAGTTTTCAAAAAAAAAAAAAAAAAAAAAGTCAACGCCGGAATCTGGACATTTCAAAAAAAAAATTATTTTCTGAAAAAAAAAAAGTTTTGGGGGTTAATGTGATATATTTGTTTAAATCCGGGGTCAATGTGTAATATTAAGAAAGTTAGATCATAATGGGTGGAATTGATAAAAATTATATTATTGAGGGTATTTTAGACTAAAGACATGGGAATGGGCTTAATTGAGAGACTGTTTTTTTTGTGGACTAAAATACATTTAAGTCCCATGTGATGGGCCTTTTTGCCATTTGCCCTACAAAAATTAAATGTGAAAAAGTAAGTGGCAAAAAAATAGTCACAAATATATACATACAACTCATACAAATTTAGGTGGGTCTTAATGTATATTAATCAATTCTAATTTATTCCATTGGTTCCTCTTAGAAAGAAAAAATAAATTCTTCAAATGGTTTAATTAATTTACGTATAATTATTTATTTATTTTTTCCATATATTCAATGATATTTACATAATTAATAATTAAATTAAATCTTTTAGATTCATGTTAAAGATAAGTATTTTATTTTTAAAATATGTTATGATAATCACTTAAAAATTATTTATAACTAATAAAAAATACAAAATAAGTAAAAACCCGGTTGGACCCTGGTTGAACCGGTCCAACCATGACCCAGCTGACACTCTGATTTATTAGCTTTAACAGTGTTATTGAGGAGAAAACTTTGAATATGTCGCAAATTTGATATCAGAAATTTGTGAGACCCCTAGGATATATGGATTCCCTATTTTGCCCTTTTTATAAATGACCTAATCCTACGCCTCTCTAAACATCCGCCTCCATTCTTCTCTCTATCTCTCTCGCCATTCTCTATTCTGTTTTCCCCTTTTCTCCATGGAAATCTCTGAGATAATTTTTTCCTCTCCCGAACTTCTTCTCCCTCACTCACCGTCACCTCCAGTCTCTGTCCCTCCACCAAAAATTATCATGGCCGCCACCTCTTTTCGGATCTCACCGTGCTCCACCACTTTGATCGAGACAACAACGCCACCGCAACACCGCTGCACCCCGTCGCGCACATGAAACTCCGGGACCTCGACGCGGCCCTCCTCCTTCTTCTCCTATGAGAACTCTACCAACACGATCTATTGTTGTAAGTTTAATTTTTATTTGAATTTTTGTTCTTCATTTGGTAAGAAGAAGAAAAGGATGTTGTTCCACAAAAAAACCACCACTCAATTTTGAAGTGTTAATGGATGAAGGTTTGTTCAAGTTCTGCATAAAATTTCTTGATCCAATTTTTTTTTCTTATATCCCCTAATTATTATTGTTACTTGGGTGGAATTCTGTGCATTGAAGAATGACTTACAAGACCATTCCATGTTTTAATCTATTTTTTAATATGTAATTTTGGGTTGCTTGGTCTGCTAATCAACTTTATATTAGATTAATTTGGATTAGATGAGATTCGATTGATAATGACATTTTCATAGTTTCTTATTCTGTCCGATTATGTTTCTGATTCGGTTTTGAGATTGTACAGTTTCAGTGGGTGCTCCAATGCAGAAGTTTTGACCTAATTCGTTGAATGTGTGGGTCGATGCTGGAATATGGTTAATTTATTTGAAGATGATGCGAAATGCTTTAAGTGAGAGGGCTTTGTTTATCAGTAGTAGAAACTTAATCAGTAGTTGGGTGATTAGAGTCAGGTGAATGTACAATTATATGTAGTCATATACAGTCATATGTAGTCATGGCTACATATAACTATATATGACTATAGAATTTGTAGTATACTATAGTCATTTGTAGTCGATTTCAGTACAAAAAATTAACATTTTTTTTGTATTTTTCGTGTAATCTAACTCGCATGTTCCATTTTTCTCTTTAACTTGTATTTTTTTTGTCGCAAGACTTTTTGCTTTTCGTTTTCTCTAACTGGTATTTTCTTTGCTACAGGGATTGTTGTTTTTGCCACTTCTATACAGTAAGAAATGACGGGGAGAAGTGCTTTACTACATGTTACTATAGTCATCAATGGTAACATGACTATATGTTACTATAGTCATATATAGTAACATTACTACATATATGGTAACCTGACTATTTGTTACATAGTCATATATAGTAACATTACTATATGTTACTATAGTCATATATAGTAACATATAGTAACATGTAGTCATGTCTGGGTTATGTGTGTTTTTAATATTGAGTGATGATGATGATTTTGTTCTTTATTGAAGAACATATGCATGTGATTGTATATTTCGATCTATATTTGTACAATTTGATATATAATATCAATATTTATTTCGATCTATATTTGTACAAGTTGATTTATAATATCAATAATTAAATTGTGATTTTTGTTGTTGGTGTCGATGAAGTTACTTTTTGTATATAATTAGCGGTATACATAGTTGGTCGACTATATATAACTATATAATTTTGGGGTGAAAAAAGGTACATGACTAGATATAACTTTGGAGTAAAAAAAAAGGTACGTGACTATATATACTATAGGCACATGTAGTCAAGTTATGTACAGGAAATTTTATAGAAAAAATATTTTTTAAAATAAAAAAAATTTAAAAAAAAAATTAAAAAATTAAAAATTAAAAAATTAAAAAATTAAAAAAATAATTAAAAAAAGTAAATAATTAGAAAATATGAAAATTTTTAAAAATAAAAAAATTTAAAATAAATAATAAAAATAAAAAATAAAAAATGAAAAATAATAATAAAATAAAAAATTATAATTTTTTATTAAAAATTCTGAAAAATGATAAATGCAGCTCCAAAAATGCTAAATGCAGTTGGCTATTATACTGAATGCATTTGGCAAAATGCTGAATGCAGTTGGCTATTATGCTGAATGCAGTTGTCAAAATGCTGAATGCAGTTGGGCAAAAATTATAAATAAGGGCACAATAGTACTTTTGCCCCTCCAGGGGGTATCTCAAAGAAAGAATTTTAGGGGTGGACTTATCCCTATATATTTTCCATTCTAGGGGTGTATATCAAATGGACCCTTATTATTGAAGCAACAGTCAAGTTCGAATAATATGTGGTTTATGTTAATTTACTCTTTTTTTTTTTTTTGTGTAAATAGTTGAACCAAAAGTATGGAGTCAAAATGAATATAAATTTTTATATTTTATTTAGTTTATGTCTCGAGGTCTTAGTCGTTTAAATTTTTCTAAAATTGTTTAGTGTTTAAATTCAACCTTTTTTTATTTTGAATTTAAAGTTAATCTTAAATTTTTTTAAGTTTCAATTTACTTTTTTTAATTATTTGGAGAAAAAAAATTAAAAAAATCAATTTGGACCCGAACCCAACCTGGACTCGGCCCGGGTGGATACCTAGGATCCAGACCCACCTCCCCACGGGTCGGTTTCGGGTCCCCTAAAAGTCGGATCCAGACCCGGACATGATCTGACCCGTGGTCGTGTCTACCTTCAACCAGGGACGGATCCAACAACAATTTGTAGGGGGGCGAAAGTTTGGAAACAATTACCGGAGAATCTATGGGCTTCAGGGACAGCGCTCCCAATTTTTTTTCTGGAACAACTTGGAAAAATGACTATAAAATAAGTAATTATTTGAATTTGTTTTATTTAAGTGGTGTTTGCAACCACTTTACAAAGTGATTATGAGTTTTTTTGTTTCAAAATCAGTTTTTTTAAACATAAAAAAGCTCATAATCATTTTAAAAAAGCATTTGAAACACAACCTTAATATGACTTTAATATCATTACTAATACACTTAGGTCTCGTTTGGTTCAATTGATTACGATTGATTGATCTCCTAATCCACCATGTACCGGCGTTTGGTTCGTGGGTTATAAACCCGGGATAGATCCTCAGCCCGTGTTTGTATCCCTCATTTCCGTGATTCAGCATCATGCCAGGGAAGGTGGGTTGAGATAATCCCATCTGGCGTCCCCACATAATTAGAATGTGAAATGACTCTTTGCCCCCGTCTACAACTCGTAAATTGCTCAATTACCGGGTATATAACTATACCTTCTCCTCAAACTCGATTGCTGAAGCCCTAATCGTCGTTTTTTTCTTCTCTCTCGCTATGGTCGCCTCCCTCAAACATCAAATTGCTTTCCCGTAAATCAATCTACCAATCATTTTACAATTTTACTTCTTTTACGACTCTTCTAATTACATTCAATTTTCGTGTTCAAGTTGTTTAGAAATGTCTACATCCCCTCCGACGACTGGTTGACGGTCGTAGCTTGTCCGGCTAAAGTTACCCTTCGACGCGTCTGCGATTAGCTATAGTATTGGGGGTCTCCATTGTCTCTATTGCTGAGCTGCATAGGTTTGTTGAGCTTTCTCTTTTTGTATGCAAATACACGAGTATACCCACTGACATATATGTTGTTGTGATACTGTATTTGTTTCATAATTTTTTTTTGTCTGTTATAATTTTGTATAGCTGTATGCAGGTCTAACTCGTTTATTAAATAAAAGTTTGACATGTGTATAATTATTTACTCTGGATCTATTTGTTTATAATTAGTGTAATGTGACCATATGTGTGTAGTCTCATGGTCCTGTTTGAATTGCTTAATTGGTGGGCTTATTTGTTCAATTTTTCATGTGGTGACAGCTCTATTTGCCCGATTTAATGGCGAACGAAACTGAACGAGAGGTATTAGTCGTAGCAGTGTATAATGTAGTTGACCAGATGAAAACACTTCTACTGATGCTCACACAATTAATTCGTTTGCTTAGACTTCGTCGTTCTATGTCTAGTAGAATGGGTACGATTAGGTCATACAGTATGAAAAGTAGGATCCCTGACCAAATCAAAGATCTCACATACATAGTTGGGTTGAATGATTCAATCTGTCATAAAAATCTTAGGATGAATACGAACACATTTAGTCGTTTGTGCTTCCTATTAGAAAATCTTGGTTGGCCAGTTTGCATTTGTAGCCGTGAAAAATTATCCATGCTTCATGTACATGGTTTTGCAGGCTTTACATGCACGTTCAATAAATGATCCACGCTTGATATGTATAAATCTCCCGATTCATCAAAGAATAACAAAATTCGAGAAGCTAGATAAAGATATTACAACGCGTTCGTAGTAGATCACACAATACAACTTGAGGGGATTTATCACAACAACAAAGAAATAAAAAAATTAAAATGCAGGCCAACCGAATTATAAAGCATATTTCAACACACACAATGCAAGAACTGTCGAAGTACACATTGCAATGTTTTTCCATTTTTTCAAACGTTTCTTTTCAGTAGCCAATGATAATTGCAATGTGTTGATTTTGTCCAATAATCCAGGAATGATTGCTTTAGCCCTATCACAAACCTCAGAATCACACCAGTAGAAGAACTTGCATTTATTAGCCTGCAAGAGAAAAAACAAAACCGGAAACCACACCTTTTAACGATGTTTCCAAATGGAGGAGGATATATTAGATACGGAATCTAGTACTTACACCTCTGGTCGGACATGTAACAAATCGGCGGCCTGGATTCGCCACAGTCCATGAAGTTTGGACTACGACATCAAAACCGCAAAGACAGATGAGAGGATGATTATGACCGCCTCCAACACCGCATTGAGCGACGCTTCGACCACCCTAAAATGCACTTGTACTGCTGCTACTCATGTTTTTAAATGAATTAAAGTAATTTAATCGTGATTATTAAAAGACAAATAAACTTAATCGTAATTACTGGAAGCTATGGGAAGAACGGGAAAACAAATAGGGAAATTTAGACAAACAGCACAAACATAAAATGTGAAATACATTAGGAACGAAAATATTCTCCTTTTATAAAGACCAAAGCAGGGGCAAAATAGGGGTTTACTATGCCTATCCCACTCAATCTTTCGAACCAAATACCAGATTGACATAATCCGTAGAGCAATCTTCAGGGGTAAACTTCCACACCAAACATGAGGTTGGATTGATCTACCCTTATCAGTACAGTGTAATCCTATTGTGTTTATACTATCCCATCCCTTCCCGTCAGCTGAACCAAACGAGGCCTTAAACTTAAAAATAATCAATTACAAATGATTATTTTCATTTTTAGGGGAACAAATACACTAAGTACATGAATGAAAAAAAAAAAAAAGCATTAAAAAATCATTTTTTTTCTTAAAGGGGGGCTGGCATGTTCGCCCATGCCTTCAATACTTTGTTTTCTTCAGGTAGAAAATTTTCGAAGAATTTATTCAACTTACATACCTCAAATAATATAATTTTTCCGTAGCACTTTTTTACTTCTTCCAAGGTTGACTCGTCATCATCGTTGTTGCTATTCGACTCCAAAGACTCACCGAACTCTTCTACTCTACTAATATCGAATAATTGAGCTATTAAGATCATTTGGACTTTTTGTCTTTCAATTATTAGGCTCTTTGGTACAAAGTAAAAATTATGGCTACTCTTCTCCTTTTTTATCTAACCATTCTTGACTAAAGTGTTGCACTTAAGGGATTTTTTAAAAACTATTTTCTTGAATCGAGGAATATTTGATTCATCCGTAAGGACTTATAAACCTACTCGAATCTCAAGAGTTTAAAAGTCTCCACCTTTTTTCTTGAGATATGGTTCGAGATGTATTTTCTTCGAATTTTTGCTCATTCCTCTTCTTCTATTTTCTTTTTTTTTTTTTTTTTTTGAGAAGAAGGACTAAACAATTTTTTTAAACAACACTCAACGATATAATCTATCAAGAAACCTCCATCTAATATAACCACTTTAAAAGAAAGAACACCGTTTCTACAAGGCTTAATCAAAATTCAAATGATAAGAATGTTAAAATGTAGGCTTGAAAGGATTAAACTGTTCAAAGAAGGCCCAAATCAAATTTCAAATTACTCAACTCAATACTTCGCTTCGCAAATTTCTAAGTTGAGTTCTAAAACCGAACATCATATAATATAACATAAATTAACACCAAGTTTAAAACACAAAATTTTCAACAAAAGCAATGCATAATTCATGATTCCTAACAATGACTCATTCTTAAGTTACTTTAAATAGAAATCTCACCGAAAATTCAATCATGGTCAAGCCAAATCAAGTAATTCCATTATCAAACATTGACTATCTTTCATCATAAAATTTACATTGCCCTCAATGTAAGCACGAAGTTGAAGGATAGAAAACATCTGATTAGTCGAAATGTCCATCTCCGAGCCGCGGTCCTCCATCTCCTCCTCCACCTTGATTGTTGTTGCCACCACCTTCATCCCGGTCGTCAGAAAGATCAGGCACATGCTCTAGTATCGGCGCCGACAAAGGTCATGACTCTATGCAATCGGCTGTCCCGCACCCAAGTGGCGTACAATTGCCTGCAACATTTTCCCCGACCACTTTTGAAGGTCCTCGACCATACTAACTTTATGTTCCTAGGTGGCCAACTGATTGCATGTAATCACCGCCTCTCGCTCCATCCTCTTTTGAAAGCGATGATTGAAGGTGAAGCTTGTGCCTTCTCTTGCATGCCTCGGTTCTTGTTGACGTACGGCTCCCACTTCGGCTAAGGCTAGTGGCTCCTCACGGACGGCTTGTTTGAATTTTTGGGCCGCTTTGTCGTCAATCGGCTTCCGACATTTGATTTCGATATCTGTCGATTTTGTTGGTACTTTGGCTTTCTAGCACAATCCAGTTGTTGATCATGGAGGTTCGAAGTTGACCAGAAATGATAGTGTCTATATCGACCTGCTCGCCTTTGATGATATAGTAAGCGAGGGCGCATCTTTCGTGATTTACTCCGGTAAAAGACATGGTGGGGATCAAATTGGCACAAATGAAGACGATTACACGCTTTGCCTTCTTGGTTGATGTTTTTCCAACTGAGATCGTACATGTCTTTGTACGGGTACTCAATCCATGTTGGACTTCCATCACATATCACATCGCCTATTTGGTCTTTTGTGTCATGATCTCACATTCATGCCCAAGAGGTCGGTTCGGCCCGAAGGTGGTAGTAATTGTTGATGTTGTAGTGTCCCCAATCAACACGAACTCCTCGGACAATGCTCGAAAGGAGAGGCTCATCTCGTCTTTGTGGAGCCGGTTGTTGGCGTAGAACTCTCTTAACTAACGAGAGGTTGATGGTATTTTCGGCCTTCCGGTGCGCATAGGGATTGCCATCTTCTTTTGACAATCTCTCGGTTCAAATTATTGTATTGAGATAGTGTAATGTCGAGAGCCCTCTAAGTGATATCCGTCTTAAACTGATGCTTACTAAACATGGCTTTGGCCCCATCAACACAAAATCCATCCTTGTGGGGACTTGGAATTTCGGCGGTGCGTTTACCCTTTCCTTTGTCTTGGGTTGAAGATTCTCCTCTTGGTCTTTTATTGGACGACCTGGTTGGAATGTGATTGGAAGATGACTGGAGAAGACTTGGCGCGGAAATTTCCCCCAAACTTGGTTCGAGCAATTCGTCGAACATTTGGCGTGCGTACTTGGAAAAGCTAGGGTTTGATGATTTTCGTGTCTTCTTTAAGCCTCCCTGCCAAAAATCAACAACAAACTTCAATTTTATGGAGTAGGGAGTGTTCTTGTGTTATTTGAGAGTGTTTATGTGTGAATTTTGGAGAAAATATTCAAAAGAGATTTTCACTCGAAAAGAAATTTAAGGATTTGTGTGGGCTACTCTCTAAAATTTCTCCCTTTTAATACGCCGAACTTTCCTATCGGACGGCCATCCGAGTTTTCAAACCTATTTTACCATTTCTACATAATGAAATGGTAAAATATAGATGATATGGTTGGAGACTTGGTGAAAAATGGCTTGTTAAAACACTATTCAAATGCTAAAAAAAAATATAAGTCATTTTTTTAACATTTATGGTTGTAGATGCTCTTACGTTTCTAAATTAGCTGTAAATAATAAAAAATGATAAGGCAAAGCACAAAAATATAGATAGCATAGTGGTTAATTATAAGTACAAAATGTCAGAATCACTTCCTCATATTTTCTTCTCTCTCCTGCTCTCTCTAGCTAACATACAATTCTTAACAGTATTTTGTGTTCATTACAATATGCTCGTAAGACGATAGATATCAGTGGATAACCGGCTTCAAAGGATGAGCTCTAAGCGCCGACAAGTCCAAACTTGCATCTAGCTCTTCATCTAGTTCTCCAACGATGCTTCTACATATGTAAAAGAAAACCAGTCAGATTACCGAAAGCAGAATAAATCAAATATAAAAAACGAACACTCAGTTACACTGATAATTCAAAAGATACAAAATGAGAATATCATACATGTTATCACCGCGTATGATATAAAGCCCCAAGACAAGTTGCTGCACACCTTCCTAAAAAACGAGGAAAAAGATTTATCAGATAAAACATGATTGGCAAATCGAAACTAAAATTACGAGCAGCAGTCGAGTAAATGTACAAAGAACAGATGTCGGGAATTATAAGATTGAGACTTCGACTATATGAGCACAAGTACACTCTTACATTCGTCTGTCGGATTGAGTCATTTAACAAATGATTTAAAATCCATACATCTCATTTTTTAGAATTCCTTCCCATTTGGACTCATTTCAAATCCATTCATTCGAAATCCTTCAATCAAAACGCAGCCTAAAAGTTCTTTCATGGAAACTTTTTCATTTTTGCAGGGCTAGCAAAAAACTTCTTTCTAATTGCTTTCCGACTTTCAGAAATAGAGATAAAATAAACGAGGACTAAAAAAATAAGTGGCAAGTACTTCTGCTGCCATCATTTTGCTCTTGATAATCTCAACATATTCTTACGAAATGTTCGTACGGGCAAATTAACATGGTTTAATTAGGCTGATCTCCGGGTTAGTGTAGAAGATCTAACTTGATTGACGAGCGAAGACCAATATGCAGAAAAAAAGAATAAGATTGTTTACATGGATAAAGAAAAGTCGATTATATTCCTCAAGGCAAACAATCAACATATTTGATTCTTGCAAGAAAAACGAACCTTGGTGGAGTAAACCCGCTCATGAGATTCGTCGAGGATTATGTTGGTAGCCTGGTCAAATCCTTTCAGAACTCCCTGCACGATAGATCACCGTTTTTAGTGAAACATATCGTAAACGATAAAATATTAAAATTTGCTATTTGGCCCATGTATGTATAAAGCTCACCACAATATTCCGCCCGTCATTTGTGATAACTGAAATTATTTCTGTAATAACATAAACAAGAAAACTTTGTCAAGGATCGAAAACTACGCATATAATAAACATCTGGAAATTCAAGTGTACACTATTGAGACTATACAGAATCATTGTTTACTTCTTTTTTTATTTGACGAAATTTAATACATTTAATACGCTCCTATCGTGTCAGCTAAGGTATAAAATTTAAAAACATAACAACGAGATTTGGATGTTCTAGAAAATAATCGAAGCTCTAACCTTCGTATCAATACTATTGCTACGATTATATTCTCGATTGAAGTTTGTACTCACTAAACTTGATTGGCAATCGGCTACACGATTACAGAAGGTTTACCAAATCACATTTTCACTAACCAAAAAAACTGCAATATCATTTGCTTCGACAAAAATAGCATAAGTAAAAGAAAACAGCACTCCATTTCAAACGCCCGATGTTTTATTGTTCTTTTTTCGTTTACTCACTTGTTAGAACAACCCAATTCAAGAGTGCATAGTCGGGAGTGCGAAGAAGCCATCAAGGGTTTTAACAATCTTTTCACCAACATAAAAAAACCTATTCGGGCAACGTATTAAAGTTCGACTAGCATAACAATCGACTCTAAACCACGTAATTTAACGGGACTTAAGAAATTACTCAGAAAAAATGAGATAATGTATTCGAGGAGGAGAATAGAGGTGCATACGATCAACGAGATTCTCGAGTCCAGCATCAGTTGCCATCTTCTTATCAACAAGCAACCTAAGCAATTTGATGTCGGGCTGCTGCTGCGAATTTCTGTTTCAATAGAAATCGAACTATCGTTAAAACGCAATCGGTCATATTTCATACTCATACCAAAACACACAAACAACTTTAAATGAAAACAAGTGAAATATTCAATACCACAAGCATATATTAGTGCCGAAAAATGAAAACTGAAAGAGAATTAAATTTAACTATACACAAATTGCGTTTAGAGTTAACTAACAAGACGAAGAACAATTTTCTGAGATAAAAAAAGTCGAGTCGAACAATCTACGATACAGGCAAAATCAATAAACTCATCGTACATCAAAATAATTATATTTATTATTTTTTTAATGAAATCAGCAGCATATCGAATAGTAATCACAGAATCTTCTTGCAGTGGTGATGATTGTTCTACTTACCAAGAGGCGGCGGCGCGTTTCTCTACCGCTGAGGGGGAGGGATCGGGAAACTTGGTGGGGGGTGGGGGGTGGGGTGGGGGTGGGTGGGAGAGGGAACAAGGGTTTTACAAATTGAGGCAAATCTGAACCTTTTGGGTGGGATTATTTTCCGGTTTAATAAATATCTATTTGAAATTTAATGTTTTATTTTTATTTTTACGGGTATTTGAATTTGAATTTCAGATTAATTTTGCTGTGGACCCTTTTTATTCTTTTTCTTTTATATAACTGAAATGATCAGTGCATGCATCGGTTAATCGTGTAGACACTACTTTTACTATTCTTCAAAAAAAAAAAAAAACTTTTACTATTCTTCAAAAATTAAAAGGTAAATATTCTCACAAACTGTCTCAAGCTTTTGTAGTTCGATTTCACATTCCGACCGAGACGACAATAGATCGGAGGTAATTTCTACATTTTTTTTATTGTTTCGTTACGTAGATTATGATTATTGATTTTTTTTTAAACGAAGCATCTAGTAGTACTCGTGTGATTCTACACGAGTACAATGGAGTTACTCGTGTAGAACCACGCGAGAAGATGAAGATATGTTTTTTTTTATTTTTTTTTATAATTGAAAATGCGTATGTTTTTATTGAAAAAAAATTAAAAATAATGGAGCTCGTGTGTTATTAGGCGAACAGGGGGTTGTGCTCGTGTCAAGCCATGCGAGCTCATTTCATCGAACTCGCCTAAAATCACACGAGCTCTATTTATTTTAAATTTTTTTTGTTGCTCGTGTGAAAACACGCTAGCAGATCTATTGTCATCGCGTGCCTGCACAAGAGAAAAATAGATCTACTCGTTTGTTTTCACACGACAACTTTATTTTTATTTTTATTTTTAATTAAATACTAATTCAGTTTTTATGTTAAATTACAGATGGCCAGAGGCAGAAGGGAAAGTTTAATGAGTCAAGTTGCGGGAAAATGTAAGAGTTTGATGAAAGCTTTGGGTGGGAAGTCGAACAATCCGGATGATCCGGATTGTATTAGAGATCGGGGAGTTCTTGCATCCTATCATAGAAGGAAAGCGACGATAAGAGAAGAAGCGAAGAAAGCGAGAGAATAAGTTATTGCAGTCAGAGCCGGGCATTTTGTACCTATTGCCGATGATCTTCAAGTCGGTCATGTTCGTACTATGTTGCAGTATGCGTCCGATGATGACGGCAATGATGATTATGAGGGTGGTGAGCCGACATGTAAAGGTGGTCGTGGCGTAAATTTTTTGTTGTAAATCTGCTATGAACGAGAATTTTGCCGAGGCGAGTTGTCTCTGTCCTTAAGACGAAATTTCCCCGCAACGGTGCTAACGGATTAAATGGAAATCGTCTCCCAAGATACAACGGCAAAACTTGGAATAGAAGCACTCCAAATCCCAAGTACGACGAACTGTACTTTGTGTAGAACTTTTCGAGAGAATCTGAAAGGGAAGGCTTAGTATGCAGTAGGCTTGTATTTGGAGTGAAGTGAGGAATTGTGGGAATGTTAGGGTCTATTTATAAGGTTTGAAAAGTAGTGTCCTTTGGAACAAAAAGGTACCTTTTGTTTGAATGGTTGCACCTTGAGCCAATTGGGAGTAGTTGCACCATTTCGGGTTGAGCCTGAATGGTTTGCATTGGTTCGGCCGCACCAATTCAGACCAGTCAGACCAATCGAGATGGGCTTCGAGTAATAAGGGCCCAATGGGTTAAAGCCCATGACCTAATGTTTTTGGCCCAAAAATTAATGTAGTGATTTGGGCCCGAGCCCAAATCCAAATCCGATCCGTACGAACGAGCGAGCGAGCCGAGCCGGGCGGCCGGTCGGACGGCGGCGGCGCGCGCGCGTGTGGGCACGATTTGAAACACATAACATATAGGCCTTTCTCCCAAACAAAGTTGAATGCCCAAAGGGCGTGACCCTTTGTCCCAATATTTTGATATATATACAGCTCAGTACTTCTCTACTTTTCCAATGTGGGATATCTCAAAATCCCACTTTCCTTATATTTTGGACTAGTAATTTTTCATTCACCACAAAATTGGTTCTAATCCAAATTCATTTATATACTCAATTAGACCGTATAATAATATTGATAAAAAATTGTTCATGACTCAATTTTAACCAATTTTTCCCAACATTTTTCAATTTTGGATGGTCCGCGCGAAGGAAGGCCGGGGAATTTGGAATTTATGCGTTGGTTTAAGTCATATAGCGATATATGTTTGGGATGAATATGTAAATTTGTTTTTAATACGTTTTTTTATATATTTTTATAATTTTTGTTTTCGCTATCTAATATATGCAATTTAATTTAGGGACATCGTGGTATTGGACGGGTCAAGTCGAGAAATAAATCACTAAAAAACTACCTCGGTCCGCAGGATGACACGATGATTAACAGGTTGGAGGAACCGGGCTTTACTACTTACGACACTGATGGCTCCCCAATATGAATCAAAAGCTAATGTTAGCGTCCGTTGAGAGGTCGCAGCCGGAGACGAACAGCTTCCACATGCCGTGGGGAAAGATGACGAAAACAATAAACTACCTATGACTTCGCCAAATGCAAATAACAAACTAAAAAAAAATCATCATTAAAAACACCAACAAAAAACTATTTATGGAACACGTTGCAAACAACAAAAATATTAAACAAAGTGTTAGTAAAACGTAACTGAAGACATACCTTGCAAGATGCCAACTGACGCAGAACGGAAGCACGGTAAAGAATTAATTTCTACGAATTAATCCTATAGAACACGATAACTCTGGAATCCACCAGATAATTGAGAGAAAACTCAGAAATTTTATTAATAATGAAAAGATGCTGAAAAATAAACCCTAGAGCAACTATTTATACTAAAGAAAAACGAAAAACCTAATCAAACTAGGAAAACGAGAAAATTACCAAAAAAGGAAAAAAAAAACAAAATAACTCCTAAACCTAATAGAATACCGAAAGTTGGAACAACCCAACTTGCGGAATTCAAATCCGATTTTTCTAGAATTAATTATGAATTATTTAAAATTTTCCTAAAATTGCAACAACGTCGTTTTGAAGGTCTAAACGACCTCGAAACGCTAAAATCCATCGCACATCATGGCGTAACGGTGAGTTTGACTCCCCTCGTCGTTCCGGTTCGGAAAAGTTTGGCCCCACCCAATTCCGACTCCGCCACCTCTGCATCAAAACCAGTGGAATCGATGATGTTTGTTGTCCTCTTTAATTCTTTCACCAAGAAATAATCTCATAATTTAAAACATCCCTATTTTTTCTTCTCTACAATATTTCTTCATAAAAAAAATAAAAAGAAAAAGAAATAGAACAAAGAAGGGAGAGAGAGAGAGAGAGAGAGAGAGAGAGAGAGAGAGAGAGAGAGAGAGAGAGAGAGATACAAAGGGAGAGAGATGAGTAATAAATATATAGTGAGATAAACGTGAGATTAGAGAGATGATATATTAAATTTGTTTTCTTATTAATTGAGGTTGTTTATGTCTGTATACTAGGTATTTTATTTTATTTATATTATTTTTTTCGTTCATAGGACCTATACCTATATTCATCTAGTAACTAGGTTCTCTACCTATATGAATCCAAAATAAATGGTGTCTAGCAAATTTCGCTATTATTATTTTACGGATTAATATCTATTTGAAATGTTTTTATTTTTACGGGCATTTAAATTTGAATTTCAGATTAATTTTGCTATGGGCCCTTTTTTCTTTTTCTTTTATATAATCAGAAAAACCGGAATATTGCGTTAAAGCAAAACATAAAAATAAAAGAGTTACAAAACGATTTTTTTAAAAAAAGTTACAAAATTATGAGCAGCAAAATTTTGAAATTTTTAGAAGAAAAATTAGAGGATGTATGGTTGCATTTTTAATGGGATATTCCATTCAATCATAATTTCTAATAAATTTTTTGAAATATTTTAGCTTTTGTTTATAAAATAAAAAGTGTAATGGACACTTTGCCGCTAAACTATAGTGGCTTTTGCACTTTAGCCCTGAATTATTTTTTTTTTTTCCAAATTTCACCTCAACTCATAAGACACTTGCTTGATATTATTAACTTTTTTATAAAATAAAAAGGATAATAATATGATAAATCTTGATTTTATTTCCCATTTCGAGAATAAAATATTTACATGACATAATATTGTATCATAATTATTTAAATTTGCTTATTGATTTCCGAAAATGAATGATTTTTTAATATTTAATTGATTTGTGCCTTAATTATGTATTATTTACTTTAAGTCCATTTGATATACACCCCTCATATGGAAAATATAAAGGGATATGTCCACCCCTTAAAATGAGATACGCTCTGCAGAGGCGAAAATACTATTGTGCCCTTATTTGCAATTTTCGCCCAATTGCATTCAGCAATTTCACCAATTGCATTTATCATTTTGAACCTGCATTTAGTATTTTTGTACTGCATATATCATCATTTTTAATTTAATAATTTTTTTATTCATGTATATATATTGTACATTTTTTTATTATTATTTTATTTTTTTTATAAAATATTTTTTTAATATTTCGATTTTTGTTAATTTTTCGATTTTTTTTTTCAATTTTTTTGTACTTTTTTTAATTTTTTAATTTATTTAATTTTTTTTTTAGTTTTTTTATTTCTTATATAAATTCAAATTTTGGTAATATTACTGAACCGAAAGTATACTACACATGACTACAGTGTACTACAAGTTCAAAAGTCATGTATAGTTATATGTAGTCATGTATTGTCTTTTTACCCCCAAAATTCATCTACACAACAAATAAAATTCACAATTTAGATGTTGATATTATAAATCAACTAACAAACAAAAAATGAAAAAATACAAACATGCATATATTCTTCAAACATGAACAAGTATTACTGTACATTAAAAAACCTATAGCATAAATATATTGTATGTTACTATAGGTGACTATAGTTATCTACAATGATCTATAGTTATATATAGTGATATAAAGTCTAGACTACTGTAGCATGAATCCAACTTCACAAGGCACTTCATC